GCAAATCCCCTCTTGCAGTGGGCATTGCCGGGCTCACCGTCAGTCACACATCCCCAGTGGGAGCTGAGCTCACGGGAGGTCTACACAGCTTTCATGGGTGAAGGGCGATCCTGCGGGCAGATCATCAGCCAGCACCGCCTTGTTGGAGGCTCTCCAGAGCCCAGCATGCTCCGTCCGTCTCACTAGGCGGATCACCTCGCTTTGCTTGGTTTGGGGTATTTTGCATGCTGATTTTCTGAGCAGTTTTGTGTACAAAGGCTAGCGTTTGTCATCGGGGCAGCTCGTGGGCGCAGGTCCTGTGCCAGAGCAGCGTCCTGGTCCTGCCGCTGCAGCAAGGCCGGGTGAGCTTCCCGAACCTGGTGCCCCGGCTTGGGAGGGTGCCTGTGGCGTCTCTTAGTCCCGATGCTTTGTTGGTGGCATCAGCGGGACCGAGGGGAGCGCAGTGCCCCAGGGCGGGCGGCTGGTTCTGGGTGTTAGAGTGGGGCCGCTGCGCACTCCGTTCCCCACCGCTCCGGCTCGAGCCGACTGTGGGCGTCGTCGTCGTCTCAGGGAGAGGAGTGTGGTGCGCCGGAGCTGGAGCAGGAGCAGGCGCAGTGCTCACTCCTGAGAGACCTGGAGGTGCCCGACCCCGGTGCCGGCCCAGGCCCTGCTGAGCGTGGACCACAGGGCGTGGCCAGGTCTGAGGCCCAGTGTGGATCAGCCCCCGCCCCCCGCCTGGCTTCCCCCTGCTGCTGGGCCTTGGGGAATACACTTGGGAGTTCCAGGCCAAGTTCCTCTGCAAACGGAGCCCTGATTATTGCAGAGAAGCGCCCTGAACACACCTGCTGCTCCTGCACACGTCCTCATGCTTATGAGCCCTTGACGGGGCATCTCAGTACTCCCAGGACCAGAGGGCAGGGTGGGGTGTGGTCCCTGGGAGAGTCCACCACTGGGGGTTCCCAGGCCACTGCACCAAGTCTGCAAGGACTCCAAGTCCGGTTTCTTAAGGCACAGGCTCAGCACGCAGGAGAATGTTTTTGCACTGTACAGCTGGTGGCTGACGCTGCCCTGGTCATGGAGCCATAACAAGGGGGTGTCTAACAAGGGGTGCACAGGGCAGGGGTGCCTGTGTCACGCCCTGCCACATCCAGGTACAGGAGACACTATTGTCCACTTAGCAAGGTCACTGAGATGACCCCATGGAACTCACAGCTCAAGGAAGTCCAAAACTGCACCTTCTCGAGCATGTCCATCCCGCAGCAAGCCCTGCTGGTCATCCTGGTAGAAAGGTTGTGTCAGCCGAGCTGCAGGTGACCACAGCCGAGTGTGCAGATCTGGACCAGTGACTCCCGTTGACAAACAGTTTCGTCTTGGGCCAGTTCTGACCAGCACCACAACTTGGGTCCATGTACCAGCCGCAGGTGTGGAGGACACAGCCCGGGGCCTTGGGGTCAGCGGTCACTGAGCATTTGGCATCCCAGCAGGCCGGGGAGAAAGGGGGAGCACACCAGGAAGTGTCTCGGGGCTGTGCCCAGGACCCTACCCCTGAGCCAGGATGGTGCCCTGGGCCCGGTGGCAGCCGCAAGGGACACCACAGCCTTCTTGTGAAAGTGCAAGTTTGGGACTTAGCTGCCATCCGAGTGGGGCCCAGGAGCAGAACTGCCCCTGGCACTGGGCATGGAGACCCCTGCTCCCCGAGGGCACCCATGGGATTTGGGAACATCCGGCCTCTGCAGAAACTCGCTGCCACCCTGGTTGAGCGACAGGTTAGGGCTGCAGTGTACCCGCGCTGAGCGGTGCTGGGCCCCAGGGTGGACTTCCTGCCAGGTTCAGCGCAGGGCCGAGGGGCAGCTGGGTGTCAGAAGGACACTGAGTGCTAGGCCTGTCTTTTCCTTTTGCCTTGCTGGGCCACCAGGCAGAGGCATCAGGACCAGGAAGGAGGTGAGGTGGGCAGGACCCAGCACTTCACCTGCAGGGTCAGAGAGAGGGGAGGCGCAGGCCCCCGTGCATAGGTCAGCCTGGGCCTCAGGACGGTGGCCGGCTGAGTCCCCGCCAGCCTGGGGCTTCTCAAGGTAACCAGTGGGGCAGCCAGCAGGTGGAGCGGAGAGGGCCTCCGTCCACATCACTGGGCCTGGGGCTGTCCCGAGATGCTGTAATGTGACGGGGTGGGAGCCAGGAGCATGTGGAGACAGAAGAGGGCACCACAGCAGAGGACACCTCCTGCCCCAGCCACGACAGACAGGACCCGCAGCCCCCCAGCACCGTGCACCCCCAGAACCAGGAGTGCTGGTTTCTGCACAGCCAACCTCTCACTCCCCGTTATGGGCCTCGCTGGACCTGCCGGGGTTGCACGTGGGTGGGGCCGGCCTGGGATGGTGGGCAGACACTACCTGGTGCAGGACAGCAGGGCAAGGGCAGTCTCCTGGGAGTGATACTCAGTGTCTGCTAAGCTTTTGCACCCACCCCTCCCTTCCTTGGTCCCTCTTCCCTTTGTCCTCTCCGAGCAGCCTCTGTGGACACTGAGGTCTCATTTGAGGGACTCCAAGGTCTAAGGGTGAATGGTCCCTGTGCACCCAGCCCTGCTGGCCAGGGTAACCCACCTTCCCTGTAGCTCTTGGTCCTCCCTGCCCCATATCCCGCAGGAGGACACGAGCGGCACCACGTTCTGGCTCGAGGCTCCCTCTGTCCAGCTAGGTGGGATGTTCAGTGATGGCCACCCTGAGAAGACAAACCTGGACCCCACTGACCCCCAGTTCTGGGCTTAGCCAACCCTGAAGCGTCTGGGACCTGGGTTGCTCACCATGTCCCTGGTGAGGCTCACCGTGTGCCCAGTGACTGTCCCTCCCCAGGACAGCCAGGAGTAAGGGTGAGGAGAGGAAAGAGGCTAGTGAGTGGGGTGACCCCAGTGTGGCTGAAGTTGGGGGGCTGTTGGGAGAAGTAAGACATTCCAGGTGGACCCAGGCTAAGTGGGAGATGACCAGGACACACACATTGAGTGACTCTGTGTCTGCAGTGGGAAAGCCATGTGAAAGACTAGCAATGCTCACTGTAATACGAAGATGCCACCATGTCCCCTGTCGTGTGAACAAACACAAGATAGGCCACATGGGACAACAACCTGCAAGGATCGCAGGTGACACTCACAGGCACATGCAGGTACATGCAGGGTGACCAGACACATTCTCGGACAGACACTCCCTCAGGTCTGTCGACACAGCAGGAACTGTGCACAAGTGACTAGAAACGTGGTTGGGAAATTATTCTCCTTTCTTTTACACACACACACAGAGTAAAGAGGGAACCACAGCAAAATGCCGCTGTCCAGTTAGAGAACATTGTAGATCTGGGCAGACCGTGCCGGTGATGGTGGCTGCAGACCGAAGCGCTCAGTGCTGAGGCCTGTGTGGCCACCCCTGCCTCTCCAGAATGAAAGACCAAGTGGCCCCTGCCCAGGGTGCAGGTTGTAGGCTACCCTGCTCTGCCCCGTGGTGACTGGTTCATCACGCCACCTCTGGTCACTGGGGAACTGTTGCTACCTGGTGCGTGATAGGACCTGGAGCCTGGCCCTTACCTGAGGCTCACATGGTCAGTGTTAATCTGGAGGGGAGTTAGTGTGTGGTCGGTTACAACGTGTCCTCCTTGGATGTAGTGATGTGACCTGACGTTTTTCCTCGTGTACAGTTTGTATTTCCAGTGTTTCTGTGGAGGAGCTAGAGACGAATCAGTAGCTCGAGAAGCCCTGTGGGCTGCGAGAGCAAGGGCACCGTGTCCACTCAGAAGGCAGCACAGTCGGGGGATGGGACAGGGATACTGGCAGCATGGGGCCCGGCTCTCCAGGGGAGCCCGGGAGGCAGGGTCAGAGGGGAAGGGGACACCTGGAGATCAGAGTCAAGGGCCAGTGGCTCAGAACGGGCAGAGGTGACAGCACGAGCCATTCCGGGTGTGAGGAAAGAAAAGGTGTGCAAGGCCCACGGGCTGGCGGTGCCCCCAAAGATATGCCCACCAGACCTGCGCATGGAAACTAGGTCTCCGCAGGTGTAATTCCATGAAGGTCTCCAAGAGCCAGAGGGACCAAGGTCCAGGGAGAAGACCATCTGGGGATGCAGCTTCAAGCTACGGAGCTGCCACAGGTTCTGGTGGCCCCAGATGAAGACAGGAAACAGCAGCTGGCCCCTCGTGCTGGGCAGCAGGTGGCACCCCATGCGTGTTCCGGCACAGAGCGCGACGTGCAGCCATCTCTGGGGTCACGGGGCTCAGTTGGAGGACCCGGGTGCCAGACCCCACGGGTACTCAGCGTCCCTCCCGCGGGGTGCGCAGGGTCACCTGCGCACCTCCCCTGCACACTGTAAGTCCTGTCCAGGGCTGCTCAGGGGTGCTGCCTGCACGTGCTGCTCCTCCTGCGTGGCCGGGGGCTGGTGACTGGAGAACTGAGGCCGTGTGTGTCCGGTGTGCAGACCTCTGCTATCCAGATACTTCCCATCCGTGGTTGCCGAGCATAGGACCTGCAGAGACCACGCTGCATATTCAGGCGTGACTGGCAGTGTGGCTCCCAGCCAGAGAGTCCCCAGATGCCCTCAGTCCACAGGGACTGCCCACGTGAGGGCCTGCCTGCAGCGACGGCGGGACCTGGTGGGCAGGCCGCAGCTGTGGCCCAGGGTCTGGCCAGGTTGGCGGGGCCAGGTGCTGCAGAACTCGGCTCTCGAAGGCCCGGAAGCCGCCTGAGGGTGGTGCTGGGGTCCAGTGTGGGGTGGTGCTGGCCCCTGGCAGACTTCACCGCAGCTCGGTGAGCATCCTGCTGCAGTGCTGTGCACAGGCTGTGCTGCACCTCCGAAAGGCAGAGCGGGCCTGGACTCCACCCACGCCGCATGGGGTCTCCCTGTGTCCTGGGTGGGGGCCCTGTCCTGGCGGAAGCCAGCTGGGCGGTTTCTGGGGCACTGTCCCCACTGAGGGCGTTTGTCCCTGGACTAGCCCCTGGGCCTGGCTGTCTGTGAGGCTGACGTGCTCTTCTCCTTGCTCCCCAGGTCTCCTGACACACGCAGCCCCTGCAGGCCCGGCAGCGGTCTCAGCTCCCCGGAGAGCCCACACCTCGGCCAAGGTCCCCGTCCTCCGCGGATGTCGCCGTTCTCCACGCCTGCCTGCTGGCCCCTACGGCCTGTGCCTGACAGCCTCATTCCTGGCACCCAGCGCCCGGGTCTCTCCGGCCGAACCCAGGAGGCAAGGACTTGGACACACAGGTGAGGGCAGCCCAGGGCATCAGCAATCCGAGGCCCGTGGCGGCCGGCTTTCTGCAGCGGTTGTGCTGACTTCGGAGCAGGAGGACGAGGACGAGGACCCGGAGGAAGCTGCGCCCAGCCGGCAGAGCCTCGACACAGCCCAGGCGTGTCTGGCACCGGGGCCGCCTCTCCTTGGGCCCCAGACTGTCTGAATTGCTTTTATTTTCTTATACTTTCAGTATACTCAATAGACCAAAGAGCAAAATCTATTTTAACGTGGACGCGCCCTTACTGTCAGAGTCCTGGGGCGGGCACGGGCGGGAGGGCGCGGGCAGAGGCGGCGTTGGAGAGGAGAGGGTGCCCACAGCCGATGCCCCCGCCCCACAAAGCAGCACCGCGCCCAGGAGGATGGCGAGGCCGGGAGGACAGCGCCGTGGCGACCCTGCGGGACCCAGCGGGGACACGGCCAGCGACAGCCACCACTCGGACCCCCAGGGACACAGACCCGCTCCTCCTCCGTGCTTAGACCGACTTGATCGTACTAAAATCACTGTCTGTTTTAACCAGTTAAACACGCCTCTTCTACAGCTCCATTTTTGATAGTTGGATAATCCAGTATTCGCCAAGAGCATGTTGGTCTCCCGTGACTGCTGTCTCATCCGATACGCCATTTAGCACCAGAAAGCAAATTAAAGGAACCTGAAGTAACACTTGTTTGAAAGAGATCATTAAATGTATTTTGCAAAGCCTAAAGTTATATATTTAACAGTTTTTATATGTTGTATATTTGTAGAAAATCCTATTTAACCATTAATTGGCAGCCCTGGCCACCCGCAGCTTTGGGGCCGGGCCCTGCTGTCTCCAGAGACTCTGTGGAGTGGGCCGCGTGGGACCCACGGGCCAGGCGGCAGGGGCAGGGCTTGGGAGAGCCGCTGAGGACCACACCACATGTGCGTCCTTTCGGGGTCCCGGCCGGTGCCCAGGAGACCGGGTCTCTTTCCGCTTCAGTTCGGGGTGGTGGCGTGCGCGCCTTGGTCTGTGTGTCGGGAAGCCCTGCGTGGTCACGCCTCCTCTGACAGGTTCTCGATCCTTCCTTCGCCACTCATAGGTCTCGAGGCCCATGTGTAGCCCGTTCCTCTGGGCTCTCCCGTCAGCCCAGAGTCCTCGGTGTCTGCGTCGGACGCCACAGAAGCAAGGTGGGCGGAGGCACGGGGGCCCGAGACACCATCCTCCCACGTGCCCCTGCCAGGCGGGGACTGACTGCGGGGCTGGCCGAGGGCAAGGGGCAGGGATGTGTTTCCGCCCCTGCCGACAGTCCTGGCTTCCTTTCCTTCATTTTCCTGACTTCCGCTGAAGTATACTACCTACGAGTCCAATTAACACGAGTATTATGCTAGATCTATGCTAATAAAAAAGTAAGAAGAACCATATAACTGCAGTATATAGATGCTGTCCCAGCACCCATAGGCTAAAGATGGAAAGCCCGCCCACCCAAGGCCTGGCCCCACAGCTGCGGCCCTGCCTCTTACCAGTGACCACTCGGCAAGGGGACCCGCGCTGGACAGAAGGGCGGAGGGGTGGGTCTCACCGCAGAGGAGAGGGCCCAAAGCACACTGCCCGCTGCGCCCCGCTCCGCCAGCCGGGCTTGCTCCTGCTCCGGGCCAGGATGCCAGGGCCCCTCACGCCCACCGGCCGGGGTCTCCACCACCTCCCCCTTGGTTCTTCTGAAAGCGAGTGTAGACACACACCCTTGGGGGCAGAGCCCGGGAGATTTAAGATGTGACAGCATATTTTTTTTCCTTGTTTTACAGTATTCAAATTTGTGTTGATTCAGCTAAATTATGAAAATAAAGAAAAAAGTCCTTTGGTAAGCATGGCTTGTGTTCCCTGGCCGTGGCACCTGGGAGAGGGCCGCAGCCGGAGTGGCCGGCGGGGACAACAGCTGGTGCAGACGCCCAGGCTCAGAGCGGCTCGGCTGTGCAGACCTCCGCAGCGTGAGGACGATGCACCAGCTGCAGGCATGGGCTTTCCTGGAGCCAGAGGGGTGGCCCCAGAAGCCCGCCCCACGAGCGGCAGGGGCGAGGCGCCCACGTCCCTGGTGTGAAGCCCATGCCCCCCGCAGAGGCCGAGACCTGCGTGCTCCAGCTGGGCAGAAAGCATCACTTCCTCTTCGTGTCTTGCCGCGGCCGGGCAGCCCAAGGGAGGACAGATGCCACAGGCTCCCACCTGTCCCTGGGGCTGTGTGTGCCCCTGGCCCAGGGTACCAGGGAGACCAAGCCTGAAAGACCCCTCCCCGGGGCTGTCCTGAGAGCAGACCTCGAGACCCAGAGCACTGTGCTGCCAGAAACCCCACTAGGGCCGCCTGTGTGGGGCCACACCTGTCGCGCTCCAGCTGCTCTGTGGAAGGGACGGCCTGGACACTTGGTGACCTGTGGGCGCACTGTGGCCCTCCGATGGGCTGTGGCTGAGTTCGGAGACATCACAGGTCTTGGGCGGTGGGCGCAGGGAAATGGGCGCTGCAGTGCGGGTGGCGCAAGCTTGGCTGTTGCCGCCATGGGAGCCAGGTTCCGCCTGTCTTCCCACGTGGGGCCCTGGGGCTCCAGGCCTGGCTTGAGGGACTTGGGGATGCTCCGTGGACGCCTGCCCTGGTGAGCTGCCCACAGCCCCACCGTCAGGACCAAGCCAGGCAGGGTGGGGTGGCAGGAGCGGTCCTTCCTCAGACCACACCCAGGGGCTGCCAGGTGGAGGGACCAGCAGCTGTGGTGCGGGGAGGAAGTCGGTCCCATCAGTCAGGGCGGCCTCAGTCCTGCCGAGTAATGAGCAGGGCTGGCCACAGGGGGAACCGGAGCACCGCTCCCAGGACCGGGCCCCGGAGGCCCCCTGCAGGAGCACGGGGTCCAGCCCCAGCTGTAAGCCTGTCCTGCCCCAGGTGCTAGCTGGGCTGGCCGTGAGCCCCTCATAATGACGAGGGGAGGGGTGCACTGTCTCATGGCTCCGACTTGTGGTCCTCAGCCACCCGCTCCTGGACCCTGCTGGGGCCAGGTGAGCCCTCCCTCCCCTCAGGTGCCGGGGCCACACGGCAGCCGGAGGTCTTGCCCCTCGGGTGGCCAGGCCTCCATGGTGGCCGGCTCTGCTGTCCGGCAGGAAGGACTCCAGTTCTGTCCTCTCCACCTGGGCCTGTGGTGTGGACCAGCGCAGTGTGGGGCTGCTCAGGCCCTGCTCGAAGCCACTCGGTTATTTTCTGTGGGTGGGCTGAGGTGAGCCACACTTCTGCCTGAGCCTCCGTCCCCTGGTGTTATAGGCAGCTGAGTTAGAAATATTTCAGGCAGTCAGACGGCCTGGCCCTCGAAGGAGCCAACATGAAAGATACGTATTTGCTGTGGGCCAGACCTCAAGACAAAGGACTAAACAAATGCACCCACATACCTTCCTAGGGATGGACCTCAGGGAACGATATTCTAAATAGGCAGTGATCACCTTGGAGAGTCCTTACAGGAAAAGCCCCTGTTCTGTATTCATGCCTGCTTGCTACATGACTCGCTTCCCCATTTGATCCCAATTTAATCAATTTTACCTGAACAATTCTTATTGGCTGACCACAGTTTTGTCCATTTTTCCCCTACCTTGGACCCACCTCCTCTCGTGGTTTTGCTCTATAAAAGTCCCTAGAAAAGACAGAGTCTGGGGTAACCCACTCGGGCCCACCTTCTGTCCCTCTCTCGGACAGAAGCTTTCTTTCCCTCAGTAAGTATATTCTGCTCTTAACCTCCATTGTTCCTAAAATTCATTCTTCGATTTTAGAGAACACAAACTCGTCCCAGATATCATTCAGGTTGGGCGTTTTTATTTTTCTGTACCAATTGTAGAGCAGAGACTGAGCAGAGGTCAGGAGGCTTTTCTGGAGACAGAGGGCGCAGCACACGTGAAGGCCGGGCACACCAGGGTCCTGCGGCCCTGCCCTCACCACCTTGAGCCTCAGCATCGGGGCATCCGGTGTCACTGCCTGGTCTGAGCACCGGACCCCACCGAGTGCTGAGCCATCTGCGGGGCTGTGACCTGGGGCAGCTCGCTTCTCCGAGCCTCAGCTGTCACCTGCCAAGTGGGGATCACGTGAGCGTCAGCCTGCCAGGTGAGTGGGTGAGCGTACCTGTTGAGGGACACACCTGGGCCACGTGAGGGGCGGCACACCTGGGCGAGGTGAGGGTGATTGCCCCTGTTAAAGGACGCACCTTCCTGTTTGGAGTGAGGCCAGGGCCAGGGTTCCCAAGCGGAGCCTGTCACCCTCTGTGCCTGGAGACCCCTCTGCAGCCGTCCTAAACAGCCAGTGGGCCCCGGAGACGAGCTCAGTGTGCAGGGGATGCCCTTGGAGGTGAGCGCAAGGCAGGGGGCCGCACCTGTTCAGGGCAGGAGAGAGGACACTGCGGTGTGGTGGGGGGGTTGTGCTCCTGTGTCCGTGTGTGTGTGTGTGAGTGCTGAAGTGTGTGCGTGTGTGGGTGTCTGTGCGTGCGTGCGAGTGTACTGTGTGTGAGTGTGTGGATGTGGATGCAAGTGTGTGAATCTGGCTGTGTGTGACTGTGTGTGTCAGTGCGCGTGTGTGTGTCTGTGTGTGTGTGTGCACACACATGCTCAGTTTCACCACCCCCTCCAGTGCCGAGCGCCTTTCTCGGAACCCAGCCTCAAGGAGCCCCGGTACAGGTATGGCTCCAGGTCCGAGGCGGCCCTCAGAGGGCGGCCAAGGCAGTGACAGCGCCATCACCAGGGGTGTTGTGAGCCCCGCCAGCCCCTGCCCTGCTCTCCCTGCCTCCTGCCCCGAGTCCCAGGCCCACTGTGAGACTGCGCAGTCCGCCCTGTGCTTGGCTCTGTCTCTGTGGGAGGCAGGCGTGTGCACAGCCGCAGCTCTCTGCTCTGCCCCAAGAGTGTGCAGAGCTGAGATCCAGCGCCCTAGGCGCCTGGCCCAGGAAGAGGAGGCCAGGGTTATCGCTCCCTGCAGGGAAGCGGGGACAGCGCCCCCTGCTGATCCAAGCCAACCCCGGGCTCTGTGCCCCCAGCAGGAATGTGTGCCTGGGGTGATATCAGGTTAATAACCCTTAGTTATTGAGGCTGACCAGGCCCACAATCTCTCAAAGGAGTGCACTGCGAAGGCTTAAATAAATGAGACAAATGAAATGATTTCAGGGCTCTGGGAAGATCCTAACCCTCTCACAGTACTCAAGATTCTGGAGTTTTAGGCAAAGAACTCTAGGCAGCCCTTATTTATTTGGTTTTCAGACAAAGAAAGGGAATACTGAAAAAAATGCAGGCATCTCGGCAGGACTGGGGAATCCCTCTAAGGACTTTTCCAGGTAATACTTTATGTTAATTTAGGAGAACTGTGTTACCTCCAGGAAGGCCTTCACCGCAGGAGTGGCGGGTCTGCAGCTAGTCTCCTTTTAGTTAACTGGGGTTGGAGCCAAATGTCCTCAGGTGTGGCCTTATCTTGTCCTTCGAGGCGTCCCAACTTCACAGGCCGATACAGGCCTCAGCGGGGACCAGTGACTCGTAGAGGTTCATTTACTATGAGTCTGCTGCCCATCTCCAGACCAGGGCCTAAGCCTTGGGCAAAGTCATCCATAAACATGAAAAGCCGATCGGTTAATATTAAAACCTGGGGCTGGGGATTTAGCTCAGCGGCAAAAGCGCCTGCCTGGCAAGCGCAAGGTCGTGAGTTCAGTTCCCGGTACCGGAGAAAAAAACAAACAAACAAAAAAAAACAAACAAATATTAAAACCTGTTCAGAGCTGCTTGGTAGTGGTCTCCATCAGCAGGACCCACTCTGGGACTGGTGCTCACTGGGCAAAAGGTGGACTGGACTGAGGTCCTGGCTCTTCAGACCTGCCCTCAGAGCCCTGGCTACTGCCCTCCGTCAGAGGCCGAAGGCGGGGAGTCTTGCAGGGCAGAGCCATGGTATGGAGAGAGGAGGAGATAGCTCAGAGTTCAGGGACGATGGAGCCGGCCAGCAGGGAGCCTGCTCAGCGTGGGACTGGAGCTTGGTGGCAGGACAGCCCCTCACCTGTCCTGCTGCTCGGGGGTCTTTCCCTATTCCCGTCCCGCCAGCCCACCCAACACAGTGTACCTCTCGCCTGCTTATCTGCCACTTCCCCACCTAGCGCAGCCACAGAAAGGACCCCCATTGCTCACGGCTCCACCCGCTCCTCCCGGCTCAGGGACACCCACAGAAGAGGGGATGTGGCCGTGAGGTGTGCCTGGGCCTCTGGCACCAGCTGCGCACAGGTAGTGAGTGCTGTGCTGTCTCCCAGAGCTGCTCGGGGCGAGCACAGGCAAGGCTGCTTCGGACAGAGCTGCCTTCTGCATCTTGGCCCCCGGGCTGGAGAAGTCTGCCCGAGTCCGCAGGACACTGCTCACAGCGCAGCTCGGTCTCTTGCAGGTCCCGGGGGCCCACCTCAGCTCAATGGCCCGGTGGCCGCACTGGCCCCTCTGCAGCTGGCTGGTCTCTGTTCAGGGTCAACTCCTTTAGGGAACCCTACATCTTAAATGTACTTTATTTCTTCCTTCTGTGCCCAGGAAAGTACTCTGAAATAACAACCTCTGTTTGCTTTTATGAAGGTCAGCTCATTCACCCCTGCCCCGGAGCCGCAGGAGGGAGCTTGTTTCTCCGACGGCTGTGGATGGCCGGGTGGACCTGCCGGCGCTGCCCTTCTCCCCCAGCTGGCTTCCTCCTGGGCCAGAGCAGATGGGCATGCTCACCGTCCACCGCCCAGCCGTCCTGGGCGCAGTGACCCGAGGAGGGAGCGCTGTCCTCTCTGAGAGGTGAGTGGACGGAAAGTCATCCTGACCCTGGGGAAACACGGGAAGACCTCTCTGTAGGACTCTG